TTATGCAGAATGGCTAAAAAAAATTAGGTAGCAAGCAAGAAATGACACAAAGGAAACAGGACATCATGCGCTTGCCCGTGGCACTCTGCGACTTCAAATAAAACAGGGGCTCAAAACATGGAAGACTCACGAGGTTCAGCCAGGCCAAGTGCAGGGTCCTGTACTTGGGTCGGGGCAACCTCCAGCATCAATACAGGCTGGGGGATGAAGGGACTGAGAGCAGCCCTGCCAACAAGGACTTGGGGGTACTGGCAGATGAAAAGCTGGATGTGACCCAGCAATGTGCACTTGCAGCCCAGAAGGCCAACCGTATCCTGGGTTGCATCAAGAGAAGCGTGGCCAGCAGGTCGAGGGAAGTGGTTCTGCCCCTCTGCTCTGCTCTGGCTGAGAGAGTTGGGGCTGTTCAGCCTGGAGAAGAGATGGCTCTGGGGAGACCTTATTGCGGCCTTTCAGTATTTAAAAGGGGGCTTATAAGAAAGATGGGGAGAAACTTTTTAGCAGCGCCTGTTGCAATAGGACAAAGGGTAATGGGTTTAAACTAAAGGAGGGTAGATTTAGACTATATATAATGAAGAAATTCTTTACAATGAGGGTCGTGAAACACTGGAATGGGTTGCCCAGAGAGGTGGTAGTTGCCCCATCCCTGGAAACATTCAAGGTCGCGTTGGATGGGGCTTTGAACAACCTGATCGAGTTGAAGATGTCCCTGCTCATTGCAGGGGGGTCGGACTAGACGACCCTTAAAGGTCCCTTCCAACCCAAACTATTCTTTGGTTCTATGAAGTCTTCTGAGCTGAGGAGGAAGCAATCTAACACTGAAGGACATTTAAAACCAGCTCCAGCGCTGTGCTGGAGGTGGATGGAGAGCAACCAGGTCCAGTGGCTCAGTTTCCTGGGTCAGCTGCCTGAGGCACAGCAATGGTGCTCTTGCCACAATATGACCATGTTGTCTGGCTCCAGCTCTGGCGTCAGGCTGAGAGTTTGGGCTTCCAAAAATAAAAAACATTTGTCAACCCTCCCCCGACAAGTCACCCATATACAACATTTCCACTCTTCACAGTCATGCAGTAAGTTGCTGCGCTGTGGCCAGACTATATCTGAAGACTCAAAAACCAAGAGGCTTAACTAAAGAAATATGAACATGGTTTTCAGACGTCATCTTCACTATCAGACAGCAAGCAGAATCCTTAGCAAAAAAACGCCCAAACCCCAAAACGTTAGGCCTCACCCCAAAGACAACTGGACTGGGTTGCATCACATGCTGTAGGGAATGATCCCTTTCCATTCATCAGGAGATCTCCTGTCTTTGTTTCTAAAATGACCTTCCAGGTGCCTGGGTGCATTGCTTCCAATTAAACCCCAAGTGATTAGGATCCTGAAAGCTTCTGATTTTCATGACTTGGACCATAATTTCTTGCTGCCTCTGGCATTTAGTGCTATCTCACTCACAGATTCTATGGCTGAAACTATGGTATATCTCACACTGCAGGGATCTAAATGTGATCTTTGCATCTTGGAGCTGCCTCTAAACATGAGAAATGGTTGTTGCACTTAACCGCCAAACCACACATCGCTGAAGCAGAAGCTGCACTGACCAAGGGGCAGGTAGCTGTCTGAAATTGTTTGACAAAGTGACATTTGGAAAGTATAACTGCAACAACAACAGCCAGAGATGAAGATTTCATTATATTGCTGCTGTTGGCTTTTCCGAATCTCAGAACTGTGAACACTGGTTGCATAACTTTCTTTTGAACTTACCCAGCTTTTCCTTTGAGTCACTAATGCCTTCTACGCCTCTTCTCAGTGAAAGGGCACCCGCTATTTGGTGGGGGGGAGACACGATTGCTGGCCTGCCAGCGATTCCCCCCATTTGTGGATGTCTTGCATCTATCTGACCACAGAACTGAAGACCTTCCAAGCTGTAGTCGATGGCCTTGCTGGACTTGTCAATGCAAGAGGAAAGACATGCTCGGATTCAGGCGTCAAGAGCCAAAGGGTGAACAATCATAGAATCATAGAAAGTTTTGGGTCGGAAGGGACCCCTAGAGGTCGTCTAGTCCAACCCCCCCTGCAGCGAGCAGGGACACCGTTAACTAGATCAAGTTTCTCAGAGCCCTGTCCAACCTGGTCTTGAATTTTTCCAGGGATGGGGCCTCCACCACCTCTCTGGGCAGCCCGTTCCAGTGTTTCACCACCCTCATTGTAAAGAATTTCTTCCTTATATCCAGCCTAAACCTACCCTGGTTTAGTTACCCCTCGTCCTGTCACTGCTGTCTCTACTAAACAGATTGTCCCCATCTTTCCTATAGGCTCCCTTTAAGTACTGAAAGGCTGCAATCACGTCTCCCCGCAGCCTTCTCTTCTCCAGGCTGAACAAGCCCAACTCTCTCAGCCTGTCCTCATAGGAGAGGTGCTCCAGCCCTCGGATCATTTTTGTAGCCCTCCTTTGGACCCGCTCCAACAGTTCCATGTCTGACTTGCGCTTGTCTTATCAGACAGAAGTAAGGGGGGATAGCCCATCGCTGTAAATCAAGTGACCTGTGGGGCGCGATGGAGGCCGCGCTGCCAGAGGTTGCTTCACATAAAGAACAGATGGCCCCCTTGAGCACATACCAAGATGCCCGCTCCAAAGGTGTGTTGAACTGCCGAGTCCCGCTTCTGACGACACAACATACCATGCCAATCAACACATAATAATTGACTTCGGCCCACCTTGTCAAAAGATTTTCAGATGTATAAAAATTGGCATTTGAGAACTCTCTTCGGAGAAGGAGCCAAGCAAAAACCTTACCTGATGGACGGGTCGATGGACCTGAACCTCTGAACTTCTCTTCCCCCCGAAGAGGGGATGCCTTATCTGACTTTGTCAGATGTATCCCCGGGAACACATTGTTAACTAAAGCACTAAACCATTACCCTGAGATCCACTTTTGTAGACAGCGCATTTATCAACGACAATCCTGAATCTGTGATACCTGTCACTTGAATAAATCACCTGTTGTTTCAACTCTGCAAAACTGTTTCAGTGAAATTCTTTGGAGGGGCTCTGACAGGCAAGTTGAATGTGATAAGTGGCTACACACTTAACCCTTCAGACATAAACCGTTGACCAAGTCTGGGAGTAGGAGTGGATCCAGCTGCACCTAGACTCTCCTCTGAGAGAGTTTAGAACACAAGGGGGTCTGCTCTGAACCTTGTGACTCAATGGAGGGCTTTCCTTTTGCCGCTTATCAGACTCCCTTACCCCTTTTAACGCGACACAGGCACATTTCAACAGAGCCATGGAAATGCATAAATCTGCTGTGACAGTAGTTGTGGGGCGGAGAGTTCTGTTCTTACAACAGGCAAATAGTCACTAACTCATTACAACTTGGTGGCTTCTAAGTTTGGGGAGGCCAACATTTTTCTGATAAAATTAAATTCAGTGCATTAATTTCCAGGGAGGTTCATCTTATATCTAGGGAAGCTGTCTTTACTGGTATAAGACAGCAGTCTTAATCACAGGGGAAGACGGACATTAGCAGCTTGGGAAATGCCTTCAAGGATCTTGTAAAAATTAAGGGACTCCTCCGGCTCTAAACAAAATCCTGCAGCTCCCCACTGGAACAACCTTTAGTGTTCACGTACGTACAGGGGGAATATAGAACCAGAACAGTCTGAAAAACAAAAAATGGTGGCGCAAAAAAAGCAACCTTGGTGTAACTGTCTGTAGACATACTATTATCAGAGAAACAGAGCTGTAATATGAATGTGCAATGTACCTATCTACCTTCCCTCCCTGCAGGGGAAAAGTGATTGCCAGTGACTTGTAGAGGAAGGGTCTTAGGCTGTTAGGTATGTAGGGGAGGATAGGGTGGGGAGGAACAGGAATTTGTTTTAAGAGATTTTTTGGAGTATGTTGAGCATCCTTTAAGTGGTAGGCTAAGAACATCCTTCCCCCAGTCCCAGTGATAAAATGCTCTCTGCAAGATCAGAACCAGGCATGAAAAATCACACTGCTTAGATTTTGTGCTGTAGAGTTTGTCTTCCCTCAGTAACGCTATACAGAAGGCCAATGGTCAGAAAGCAAATACCAAGACCATTTCCTCTCTGTTCACCAATTCTCTGCACAGGAAGCTTTGTGCTAGGAAGAAGAACCACCACCTCTTTGTAGCTGCACTGCAGGGGCTCTCAGGAGCACAGGAAGACCAGTGACTCTGGCTGCTGAGAATCATTGGCAGAAGAAGATGGGTAGCTCTCAGCAAGCTGGATGGTCCAAGAAACCCATATCACCCAAAACCGCAAGAGCTACTTTGAAAGTTGTCAGGAATACCATGTACACCATTGTTCTGCTCAGCTTCAGTGCGGTCACAGGAGCTACAGGTACTTCTGGCGGTACTTTGGTACCAACTCTCGGTTAAGGGCAGAGGAGGAAAAGGCAATATATCAGAGTGATGTTTACTCAATTCATCTTTGAGCAAGAAAAAAATCTAAGGGAAGGGATCTTTACGAATTGCTGAAGCGACTTTTTGATGGAAAACCAATAACCTGCAAATCAAAACTTTTCTAGATGCCACTACATCTTCTCAGTTCTCAACCAGTAAGATGCTGAACTTGGGCTTTTCAATGATTTAGTGAAAACTGGTAATGATTTTCTTGGAGTATGATATTTTTCATGATAATTAACAGATTTATTAAAAACACTTTTGATAGGAGGTTTTCTTATCAGTCTTTTACTCTTAGGTGTCAGTGACTTGTGCTGACAAATTAAGTGTACTGGGATTTGATGACACTAGATTCAGATAAAAGTTTTAATAAGACTTAGTGGGAAGGTTCTTTCCCCTTTCCAAACTCAGTTAAATACTCAGAAAAGCTAATTCCGTAAATGTGGGATCTGAAAATGCAGCTATAATCCTTCTCCTCCCTGCTCTACTTTAATTATGCACACTCTTGTTTGTTTTTCTTGTTTGTTTTTGTTAGGACAGGTGAGGCAGGTCACAAGGCAGTGAACTTGAGTCTAACAGGGATCTCTGCATCCAACAGCAACCAGGAATGTGTTTTCTTTCCATTTAAATGTCATACTCCTCTACTATTTCATCTGTCACCACTATAATCAGGGAAACTGGTTGATTGGAGCTTTGGACTGGCAGGGCAGAAATTGCCACATGTGCTTGACCTGATTAGGAGGGCTCCTCATATCCAGCACAAAAGTGGGGTGAGTGTCTCCAAACGTTCATTTTTCTGCTGCACTGGGCAGTGATACAGAGATCTCCCCATACAGATGGGCTCTGCAGCTCGTTAAGACTCTCCTCCCCAGTCATGGTATTTATCCACTGTCCTAGGGAGGGGACCTTATAGAGGAAGGGAGTGAAAACAAGGACCAACATATGCGAACACTGCCATGAATTTGGAGATCTATTCCTGCCTAAGAAGAGAGATACAGCTCTTGGGTTGGCACCAACAGGGCCTCATGTTGGTGTGTTACAGTGAAGACATTTCTCGGTGAAGCACAGACCAGAACTCCAAGGCTATGGGTGACATCCCTGGGCACCTTCTCACACATCCTTCTCCTTCTTTCTCTCCTTCAGGGAACAACAGAGTGTCAGCGACAGGAGATAGCAGCTCTGAGCTCAACTGCTCTCGTAAATCAAATATAACTATGGTAACATGGAAAATCAGCCCCAAGGTTGGAGGCCCCTGCACCATGGGATACAGGGCTGATCAGAACAAGACAGACAGAACAAACTGCAGTGACAGCATGAACTGGAAATTCAGACCAGACGGGGATCCTACCCTTGAGATACGGCACGTGGGAATAGCCCATGAGGGAAACTATACCTGCGAACTAGTAACAACAGAAGGGAATTTCCACAAGACGTACTACCTGACCGTGCTAGGTAAGGGACTCCTTCCTCATTTTGCAGTTCCCCAAAGGACCATGTCTGGGCTGGACATATAAAGCTCCTCTCTGCATGCACCAAGGGAAGCATGCAGTAAAGAAGAGAGGTTTTCTTGCTGGGATAAACTGCTAGGCATTACATTGATAGTAGCTCCATGTCTCCCTTCTCCTTACTTCCCAAAATTCTTCTGCCTTCTGGTGCCCCCTTTTCCACTGTCTAGTTACAAATGACAGGTGTGAAGCGATTTCCAATGTACTAAAAGAGGATTCTGCATATGCATCTGGTTATCCTGTAGAATCAATTGTTAATACACTAATTTAAGAGAACTAAACATGTGAGAGCAACACTGCCAAGTGATGAGATGTTCTATCAAGCATGAGATGTTCTTCTCCGGACCCATTTCCTCTCATGCTGGCATTCAGATACATTTTAAACCACGTGTACGATGGCTGCTTAGGACAAAAGCCTCATTCAGCCCAGTATGTGGGACAATTCCCTACCACAATGTCCAGGGAAACACCCTCTAATGGTACAAGGCTGTGGTAACTCACCTGAATGGGGGAAGAGTTGTCCAGAAGGGAAAAAGGGGCACAATCTTTGCCTCTTATGACTATGGCCTTTGTCACCGTAAGGGGGTGGCACCTGCAACCTTATTCTCCTCTTTTCCCTGTGTTCATTTTGGGTAAAGAACAAGAACTTCCTATCCCAACTGCGGCAAACTAACTCCGTGCATCTCCCTGATGGTTTGCAGTGCCCCCCAGGCTGGCCCTGTACTGTGACAACCACGGGGACCCCGTGTGCGAGGCGGCAGCAGGGAAGCCGGCTGCTCAGGTCGCGTGGGTCCTAGACAGCAACTCCACCCCCAGGGAAGAAGGCCATGACAACGGGACAGTGACTGTTCTCAGCAAGTTGACAGCACGCAGCACCAACATGACTAATGCAACCTGCATTGTGTCCCACCCAGCAGGGAACCAGAGCAAGACCATAGCTTGCCATCCCTCAAGTAAGCTGCTTCTTGTGCATTCTGCGTTCAAAACCCTAGTTAGCCCTCTGTTCGTGCACTAAGACAAATATCAGTGGCACTGGCAGGATTGTAGCAGGAACCGTGCAACTGAGCTGAAGTTTCCAGTGAGAAATTTCTTGGGTGGGCAAAGGGTGAACAAAAGTGCTGTCAGAACTGTAAAGTCCTTTATGAAATTCTGGGAAAGGAGATGGATGTAGTGGTCTTTCCTTCCACCAGTAGGGCTGAATGGAAAGGCAGTATTATTCAGAAGTCCATGACACAGAAAGATGTCAATGGTATGATCACCCAGATCTATGTATTGTAAGCCAGTGGTACCATTACGTCTTGCTAATTGTTGGGTTACATATGGGTTGTGACAGCAAAGCTGAAAGCCAGCTTACAGCTTCCAAAGATTGGCTGGTAGGTAAAAGCTTTAGGTGGTGAGGTTGAAGACATTGCTGGGAAGTTGTGTGCAACCATATGTACTTCACTGAAGTACTCATTTAGAAGAGAATCAGAGCTGAAATTTGCTGGGATGCACATGCAAAGCCTGCAGCTGGACTATGGGAGGCAGTGAGAAGGAAGATCTAGTTAGTGCCTTTACAGTAAAAGATAAGGCTCCTCCATCAAGGGCATGGGGGGGACATCGTTTTTTCCCAGTTCTGTGCCTGGCACTGTATTCCAGCTACCTTAGATTATCCTCCAAAGTACAGCATAAAGAGAGCATTGTCTAGAAGATACCATCCTGACAGAGGCACAGGGTAAACAAATTGTCTGTGAGATGTATCCTCCTGGAGAAACTAGCTGCCCATGGTTTGGATGAGTGTACTCTTCCCTGGATAAATAACTGACTGAATGTCCGAGCGCAGAGAGTGGTAGTGAATGGAGTTAGATCCAGCTGGCGGCTGGCCATGAGTGGTGTCCCCCAGGGCTCAGTTTTGGGTCCAGTCTTGTTTAACATCTTTATCAATGATCTGGATGAGGGGATTGAGTGCTCCCTCAGTTTGCAGATGACACCCTGGGCAGGAGTGTCAATCTGCTGGAGGGTAGGAAGGCTCTGCAGAGGGATCTGGACAGACTGGATTGATGGGCCGAGGCCAACTGTATGAGGTTCAACAAGGCCAAACACCAGGTCCTGCACTTCGGTCACAACAACCCCATGCAACACTACAGGCTTGAGGAAGTGGCTGGAAAGCTGCCTGGTGGAAAAGGACCTTGGGGTGGTTGGTCAACAGCTGGCTGAACATGAGCCAGCAGTGTGCCCAGGTGGCCAAGAAGGCCAACAGCATCCTGGGTTTTATCAGGAGTAGCATGGCCAGCAGGAGTAGGGAGGTGATCGTGCCCCTGTACTCAGCACTGGTGAAGCCACACCTCAAGTACGGCGTTCAGTTTTGGGCCCCTCACTACAAGAAGGACACTGAGGTGCTGGAGCATGTCCAGAAAAGGGCAACAAGGCTGGTGAAGGGTCTAGAGAACAAGTCTTACGAGGACTGACTGAAGGAACTGGGGCTGTTTAATCTGGGGAAGAGGAGGCTGAGGGGAGACTCTATTGCTCTCTACAACTACCTGAAAGGAGGCTGTAGTGAGGTGGGTGTTCATCTCTTCTCCCAACTAATTAGCATTAGGATGAGAGGAAATGGCCTCAAGTTGTGTCGGGGGGGGGTTAGGTTGGATATTAGGAAAAATTTCTTTACTGAAAGAGTGGTCAGGCATTGGAACAGGCTGCTGCCCAGGGAGGTGGTTGAGTCCTCATCACTGGAGGTGTTTAAAAAACACAAGTAGATGTGGCACTTCAGGATATGGTTTAGTAGGTATGGTGGTGTTGGGTGGTTGGTTGGACTTGATGATCTTAGAGGTCTTTTCCAACCTATGATTCTATGAACCTTAAAGAGCAACTGTTTCTCTTTAGAGAACAGTACATGGTTTCTTCACTGTTTCATCAGCCTTGCTGGTCTCCTGGGCCTCCTTTTGCTGCTTGCTGCTCTTCATCGCTACACCTTCTGTGACAGCAGGTATGTATGGGACATGAGACACACAAGCCCCTTTGGCCAGTCCTGGGGAAGTTTAGAAGGGCTTCTGGTACTATTTCATGTCATGAGTGGTCACCTCAGTCTGTCACAAAGATGCCAGCTTGGCACATGTTCATGGAGGCTTGTCCAAGGTCTATAACCCCATAGCTGGGGCAGAGGGGGAGGAAGTCCATACATGACTGTTAGGGACCTTCTTCCTGCTGCCACACTTCTTTCAGAAGCAAAAATGGAATGGTTATTTTTTTCTGCCCAGCTGAGTGATCTGAACAAAGATTGCCAGGCTATGAAAATTAAGAGGCAGCAAAATGTCTTTCTGAGCTTGGAGCCAGACTTTTGGTCCAGTTTGTCCTACTCAGAGGAAGCTGGGGCCAATGTAGAAATGCAGGAAGTATTGCATGAGAACAGAACAGGTCTGCTGTTGTAACTGCTCAGGAGTCCTGGCAGCAGTCTGGCAGCTTGGCCAGTTACCTGTCTGAGCTAGCCTCTCTGTCACAAGGCGCAACTGCTGCCCAGAATTACAGTACAAACACCACAGAGGCAGAACTAACTACTGTGTTCAGGTCACTTGAGCTCCACACTTTGCTGGGGCTCTTGGCAACTCTCTGGTGCTGGCCAGTACATGGCCAGCTCTGGTCATGCTTGTGTGAGGTCACAGACATAAAGCCTCACGTTCTTTTGTTTCTCTACCAAATAAAGGGGAAGAATTCTCTTCTTACATTCCTAGAGCCCCAAATCACACTCTGCAATCAGCCTCGTCCCCACTTACAATGTTGGTTTTGTTTCCTAGGACAATGAGAAACCAGTACAAGCCAAGGCATCTTCCATCTGCAGAGCTGTCTGGGCCTATTTCTAATGCAGCACATGAGCAGAAATGAAAGAAACTCGCAGTAAGCCTCATTCAGCAATGTGACGACATGAGCAGGACTCACCAGTACCAAGCCTTCACGAGAAAGAAGCAAACATCTGCAATGCAGCCACTGTAACTGTGCAGAAATACGGCATGCAGGGCAGATCCTACCTGACCCTTGTCAGCTCCGTCTTCCATCATCTCTCTAGTGCAACTATAGGTGCTGTTATCACTCATGCAAGTATCAATCTTTTTTTATAAAACCAAATCTAAAATATATGCAATAGGGAATTAATTAATATTGTATGAAATGAGATCACTCCATTTCAAATACATTGTATCCTAGTATTTAAGTATCATGTCTTGTAGGATAAAATAAAACTGAAGAAATTTTCTTGCATACTAATAAGCAGCAACCTTCCCAGGATGATCACACAAGACTGAAGCCAAATTTGAGCAACTCTCATTTTCCCTATAAGAATTTTAAAGCGTTTCACCAATAGCTATAAAAAAGGGGGAGAGAGAATATTTGAGCTTGAGCAGTTATCGCTACGTGAAGCATAGAAGTTATTACAATACTGAGATCTAAACCTCATATTCATTTACCTCTTTGCATAACCCAGAAAGCCGCAGCCCACAGAACACAGCTCTCTAATATTAATTTTTTTAAACACATCTTACCGGTCCTATCACAAGTGACCTCTTGAGTTTAATCTTTCATTTGATGACATACTGCCACTACTAAGCCTCTAAACATAACTGTGCATCTTCACCATTTCTTAACTTCTATTTTGGATAGACATGACTAGAGGTAAATATTACTATGCATTCGAAATTTCAAAGGAACCACAGATATTTCAGACCCACCTCACTGCTCCACGCTCAGCAGAAATCCATGTCTTGTCATTACTGTACAAAATACTCTGTTCCAAACTGTAATATATCTGGAGACCTTTTCCACTTGCTACGGTAATTCAGTTTGCTAAATCTCTGCAATAAGATGTTAAGGATATTCCTGTGAGATGTCAGCTTACGTAAGGGCAGAAGTGGGAAAGTACTGCAGAAACACCCTGTGCTAGGCATGCTACCCTGTGTTTGCGCATTTCACATGCCCAGGTTACAGAGCTATTAGCCTTTTCTACACTCTGCACAACCCTCCCAGTCTCAGACTAAGCTAATTTGGGTTTTTTTGTTATTTTTTTTTTTCTTCTCCCCC